TGCTTAAAGGGAGGCAAACTTTAAGTATAAGGAACTACAAATGTGAAAGTATAAAGATGGAAAAAGATATATTATGAATATATTAACAAATGAATACTGGTGTTATTATGCTGGTATCAGACAAAGTAGTCTTTAAGGAAAAAGCATCATTAAAAATACATATATTGAGGAATGTTTATAATGCAAACTTTGGTGTCATAAATTTGCTTAATGTAATTGCTGCCTTGGCATCCATTTTTAGGTATGACATAAATTGTTTAAAACCCAATTATACCTTGTCACCTTTGGCCTAGTTATTAGTAAAACTTCCCCTCCCTGAGTGGTTGTCTGTGGAAGAGCCCACTTGTTCCTAATCTCACTGAACCAAACCCAACACATCTGTCAGCTGCTGACCACCATAAAGCCTAATGGTCAACACCAGAGTCATTTAAATGAAATACCCCCTTTGTGCATATTTTCTTTAACCCAGCCAATCCACAACTCCTGAGGGAAGCCCAGGGGATAACACCCATGGACTTTAATAAAGGAATAGTCCCACAGGTTCTTCATCTATCTGTCTGTCTTTTTCTTGCTCCCTACCCACTGGTGGAGCTTCCTACCATCTCCAGACTTCCTGGCGGCTTCCTGTCAGCACCCCCAACCTCTCTGGGACCTGTGAGTAATAAATTTCTTCTGTGTCTTCTGTGTTTTGATTTCACTTCCTCATTGTGTCTCACCGGACACACACACACCCAAACCTAACCTCTCCCCCGTCAGAGCTCTCCTTGGATTATTGCCACTCCAAGAGAGAGGCCTAAAGACCAAATTTTTAAAAAATCATAAAAATCAGTAAAGTAAAAGAAGAGATAAGCAAATAGTCAATTATGGCATAACGCATTAACATACCACTCAATGATTGTCAGAATAAGCAAATGAAAAATATGCAAGGATACAGATTACATAAAGAGGATTAACAAACTTGACCTAAGTGGCATATATAGAACAATGCAAGCAATGGTGGATAAGGAATTGGTGAATAAATACCCCAGCTTCCCCCACCTCTCTACTGGAATAATTCATATTCTATGGTGTAACCCGGGGTTTCTGACTAACCACCATAGGTACCTGATGTTCCAGTTGTTTGGAGTAGTAGCTGGCTGGATAATACATCATGCACTGGCTTCCTTCCCTTCCCTATATCATTTCCCACTTTCTTACTTGTATTTCCTGGGATTATTTTTCAGAGAAAGAAACTACTTTTATTCTATCTTTTTCTCAGGCTCTCCTTCTGGAAGAACTCAAACCAAGTTTGTGAAACAAAGAATCAAGGACTCTAGAGATACATGTCCACATGGAATGCAGTGGGAGGCACTGCTTGGACGATCAATCAAGAAAGGCTTCCTGAAGGACAAGGTGGTTGAAATGAGGCTAAAAAAATAAGAAATGAGCAAATGTTCTTCAGGCAGATGGTGTCAAAGGAAACAGTGCAAGAAAGCTACCAAAATCACAAAACAGTCATTTTTCAAAGGTATGGATTCTGGAAAAATGTGACATGTAAAAAAATTCTCTCAAATGGATAGTTGACATAATAAGCACTCAATATTTTATTTTATGCATTAATTTATTTGACATCTAATTTCCAAATGATGCATTCAATAAATTTATGCATTTATTGAGGTTTACTACGTACATATGAAGCCCTGGGAGTGCAGTGGAAAAACAATACTGATAAGATCTTATCCTCATAGAGTTTAGAATCTTGTGGGTGAGTGAGACAAGAAAATGGCTAAATATAGAAATAATTTTAAAATTTTATTAGTGCTATAAAAATGATCAGGGTGTTGTAATAGAAACGAATAGAGAAACATACTTTCAATATGGATGTCTAAGAAGATGAACAAATTAGTCAGGCTTCTATTCAAGAAAGCAGAACCACTGTTGGGGAATAGGAAATTACTTGGCTAACTAGTTCTGTAAGAATTCTGGGAGGAACTAGAGAAACTGAAGATTTAAATATGGATACACTAAATACCCTGACTAGATCATTACACGTTCTATGAATGCAACAAAATATCACATCTACCCCACAAATATGTACAAATATTATGTATCAGTAAAAAATTTTTTAAATTAAAAAATAAAGTGGGAGTTTAAGCCTCAGAGAAAATAAATTTACCAATCTGCTGAAGGACTGGTGAGGTAAGTAAGTTGGAGTTTTCAGGAATATATGTGTGTGTGTGTGTGTGTGTGTGTGTGTGTGTGTGTGTAGAGAGAGAGAGAGACAGAAACAGAGAGAGAGAGGGAGAGCAAAAAATATATATATAGTATGTATATATTTATTGTATATAAATATATATGCATATATAGTGTATATATGAGGGCTGTCCAGAAAGTATCCACACATTGCTAATACAGTAATACAACAAGAACATATTACATGGCTGGATACTTCCCAGACAGTCCTTGCATAGTGTGTGTGTGTGGGTGTGTGTATAGTATATGTATATTTGCATATATATTTATTATATAAGTGTATATATAATGTGTGTGTTATATATAAATATATACACATTTACCACCATACTCTTCTTAAGTATTAATACTGGAGAATGGATGAGATTCTTCCACTCTCATGGCTTTAAATACCATTTACGTGCTGATAACTCTCAAATTTATATATTCATTCCACTGCTAAATTTTTACTGGTGGTATCCAAACGCATCTCAAGTATTTTATTCCCAAAATAAAACTCATGGTCTCCTCCCACCCCAAACCTTCTGCTACCAGAGTCTTCCACATCTCACATAGTGGTCATTGTTTTTTTAAATTTCAGAATATTATGGGGGTACAAACATAAATTACTTTTATGCTGTTTGAGTCAAAGTTATGTGTGCCCATCCCCCAGATAGTATGCATTGTACCCGTTAAGTGTGAATTTACCATCCTCTCCCCCCACATGCTTGATTTCCGATGAATATTACTTCTATATGTGCACAGAAGTGTTGATTGATTAGTTCCAATTTAATGGTGAGTACATGTAGTGTTTGTTTTTCCATTCTGGTGATAATTCACTTAGAAGAATGGTCTCCAGTTCTGTCAAGGTTAATATAAGAGGTATTTGTTCATCATTTTTTTATGGCTGAGTAGTACTTCATGGTATACATATACCACATTTTGTTAATCCACGTGTCAATGGGCACTTGGGTTGTTTCCACATCTTTGTAATTGTGAATTGGGCTGCTATAAACATTTGAGGCAGGTGTCTTTTTTATAGAATGTCTTTTTTTTTCTTTGGGTAAATATCTAATAGTGGGATTGCTGGGTCAAATGGTAGTTCTAATTTTAGCTCTTTGAGGTATCTCCATACTACTTTCCATAGAGGATGTACTAGTTTGCAGTCCCACCAACAGTGTATGAGTGTTCCTATCTCTCTGCATCCATGCCAGCATTTGTTGTTTTGGGACTTTTTGATAAAAGCCATTCTCCCTGGTGTTAAGTGATATCTCATTGTGGTTTTGATTTGAATTTCCCCGATGATTAGAGATATTGAGCATTTTTTCATATGTTTGTTGGCCATTAGTCTATTTTCTTTTGAAAAGTTTCTGTTCATGTCTTTTGTCCACTTTTTAATGGGATTGTTTGAATTTTTCTTGCTGATTTGCTTGAGTTCTTGGTCATTTTATCCTTTTGGTTGCTTAGGTAACTAGGTTACTGTTTTTTTTTTCACATCATGTTCAATACATTAGCAAATCATATAATCTACATTTTTCAAATATAATAAATAATCTAGGCAATTTGAAGTCTATCTTATTTATGAAATATTACATATATAATATTACATATGATTTGGAAGAAGTGGAAAATAAATAATTGAGCAAATGTACCATTTTAGAGATTTATTTAAATTCTAGGAAGAAGGTAAAGAAGAGTAAGAGATTACTTAGGATAGCAGTTTAAGTGAGGTGGTCAAGAAAGAATTTTTAAAGAAGCAATGCCAGGTCTAGACAAAAGGGGGATAAACAAGCTAGAGATTCAGTTTTGGGGATAAATCTAGCAGTTCAGTTTCAGGTACAAATTATGTGGCAGACTACTGCTTTCTCTCAAAACTCATTCTCTTTTTCTTCCAGAGTACTGGAATTTCAGATAAGCACATTTTCATTCAGCTGGAGATTAAATGTCAAAGTTGTCTTTGCAGCTAGTTGTGGCTATATGACTGAAGCTTTCCCAGTGGAAATATGCTCAGATGTAATGTGTACAGCTACTACCTTACTTTCTAGAAAAGAATTTGTTTTTCCTCTATCTCTTCTCTTTCTCTTTACCTCCATGTAGAATAGTTGTAATGAGGACAGACTACACCCCAGGAGATGGTAGAAGGAGACAAGGTGAAAGGAACCTGGATCCCAGAATGCCAGGCACCCCAGCAGTTTAGACAATTCATTTTTACACCTACTGCTATTTGAGAAAAAAAATTTCTGTCTTTTTTATGCCGCTGTATTTGGCTTTCTTTGTTGTGGCAGGTTAGCCTAATTTTTAATTGTGCTAGGTTAACTATGGACACAGATTCTTCATGGCTCCTTTCCTCAATATATGGAGTCTCTTTCTTGATACTTGAATTTAGGTCAGCTTTTGACTCACATTGACCAATACAATGTTGTGGAAGAAATGCTATATGAGCTTGGGAATCCTTGCAGTATTGCTTTCACACTGGCCTGTAGATATCATGTAAGAAAACTGGTCCTGCCTCTGGAGGTTGAAAGACCATGTGGAGAAGAACTAAGGTGACTGGAGAGTAGGTAGCATCCACATCCAGGAATGTGAATGAGGCCACCTTGGACCATCGAGCCCATTTGAACTTCCAATCTCATGAGTGAGCCTGGGTGAAAGCAGCAAAGGAAATGCCCTATCCATAGATTTATCACAAATAATAAACCATTGTTTTAAGCCACTACATTTTGGGGTCATTTGTTACACAACAGTAGATAACTAATTAACTGTAGTTTGTCTAATCTCCCTAATTAAAATTATTCGCTGAACAGAGTCTTCATTTTCTTCATGGCTTTTTTGAAAGCATTATTAACCTCTTTATTCCTTAGACTATAGACTATTGGGTTCAACATGGGAATTATTATTGTATAAAACACAGACGCCATTTGGTCATTGTCCATAGAATGACTAGAACTGGGTTGTAGGTACATGAAGATTACAGTTCCATAGAATATGGTGACGGCAGTGAGGTGAGAAGCACAGGTGGAGAAGGCTTTCTTCTGTCCTTCTGCCGAGTGCATCCTCAGGATGGCAATGAGTATAAACAGATAGGAAGTCAAGATAACTATAAGGGCAAAAATAACGTTGAAAGCTGCTAAGATAAAGAGCACAATCTCATTCATGTAGATGTCGGAACAGGAAAGAGCCAGGATTGGGGGGATATCACAAAAAAAGTGGTGGACTACATTTGAATGGCAGAATGAGAGGCGGAAGGTGAACCCAGTGTGGATGGCTGATTCAACAAAGCCCCAGGCGTAGCAGCCCATCACCATGTGCGTGCACACACTGGTAGTCATGGTGGTGGTGTAACGTAAGGGGTGACACACTGCTGCGTGACGATCATAGGCCATGACAGCAAGTAGGAAACAGTCAACACTGGCAAAAGCCACGAAGAAGAACATTTGAGCAACACATCCCCCGTAGGAAATAACTTTATCCCCTGTGAGAAGCCCAACCATCACTTTGGGAGTAACTGCAGAGGAGTAAACACAGTCTGCCAGAGAGAGATTACTAAGGAAAAAATACATCGGCGTGTGGACACGAGAGTCCGACAGAATTAACACAATCATCCCCAGGTTTCCAATGAGGGTGATGAGATAAATGAGGGTGAACATTATGAAGAGGGGCACTTGCAGCTCTGGAATATCAGTCAGCCCCAAGAGTCTAAACCCATTCACCTCACTGCTATTTTCCATGGATGCCCTTTTGAAATTGTGTTTCACCTGTTAAAACAAGGAAAGCTGGATAAATTACTTATGCATGGGAAATGAGTCACAGCACACTCATGTCACCCAAATGACATGAGCACACCATGATCCTATTACCAATGCAGAGTTCCCCATAACCCTGAGGCTGTCATCTTCTGATCTCCACCTTACAATTGGTAGAAGTGTGTACTATATCTGTTAGTTCCTGGCCCCACTCAGATATTCCAAATAACCACTCAGTTGTCTTCAAAATATTTGTTGCTTATTTCATTTGGGTTGAAAGTTTGTGTTTTCTCCGTAAATTACTCTTACTTTTATACTTTCATTCCTAATCAGTTAGCACTTATATTAACTGAACACTTACTATGTGCCAGGTAGTCTGAAAAGAATAAATTCCATCTCATTTACTCTTCCCTTCTGTGCTTTTAGGTAACTGCCTGAGAGCAGTAACACACCAGTGTCTTTCTGGATGTGAAATCCTGCAAAGTATGAGATTATCATCCATGCAGTTGGGATCCATCTGAGGTCTCAGAAAGAATAGGTTCACTTTCACTTCTCAGAGAAAATTGTCCTCCTTGGTCTGGTGCAGTGGCTCACACCTGTAATCCTAGCATTCTGGGAGGCCAAGGAGGGAGGATTGCTTGAGGTCAGGAGTTCAAGACCAGCCTGAGGAAGAGCGAGACTCCGTCTCTATTGAAAATAGGAAAAAATAGCGGGGTGTGGTGGTACACACATGTAGTCCCAGCTACTCGGAAGGCTGAGGCAGGAGGATCACTTGAGCCCAGGAGTTTGAGGGTGCTGTGAGCTAGGCTGACACCACAACACTCTAGCCCGGGCAACAGAGTGAAACTCTGTCTCAAAAAAAAGTCTTTCTTGAGAGACATGCCAAAAAAAGTGTAAGAAGCTCAAAATCAGGACTGCACTGCACAGCCTATGCCTTCCTTCATCCTCTTGAGGGAAGCAGCATAGAAGGAGAAAGAGGCTCATCCTTGTTTAATCCCCGGAGACAGGCAACATACATATCCCTGAGCTTTAGGTTCTTGATCTGAAAAAGTAAAGTGAGCATTGTGTTTTCTATTTTTATCACGTCACGAGATCCTTATAGCAATTTTAAAAATGTGCTTTGAAAACAAGTATTTAGAGAGGCAGTATATTGTTATGATAAAGAATGTGTTCTCTGGTCGTGACCTGCCTACATTCAAATTCTAGCATTTCCATTTACTGGTTGGGTAACCTTGGACAAGTCACAACCTTTCTGTGCCTCAGTTTAAAACAGGGATAATGATAATTGTACCTCACAAGGCTGTTAGGAGAATGTAACAAATTGATATGTTTAAATCACTCAGAATACTGTCTCATATATAGTTAGAACTCAATAAAATTATAGATATCACTATCATTAAATAAATATTATTAATATTAATAGTAGTAGCACTATATACAATTGTCAGGGGAAAAAATAAAAGAAATGGAATTATTGGAACATCACTAAAGAAGCTTATGTGAGTGACTTCATAAATTAAATTCAAATTTGTTTAAACAAGCATATTATTCTTACAAATATTAACAACAGAAAATTTGGGGCTGAGCTTTAGGAATAATAATAGATACAAATTTTGAGATGATGTCTTTCATTGCATGACTTCTATAGGGAATTTATTGAGAGTTGTACCAATTATTTCACCCAACTACATAATCATATTATGAAATAACCTCCTCAATTTTCAAAATCCATGCTAAATATCTGGTCAAAACTGATAAAGTCTTCAAAAAATAATCCTCTAATACCAGAATTATTCAGCTCTGGCTCTCTTTCCCTTACATTCCCCCTGCGATCCATGAGCATATACAGTTAACTCTACCTTCAAAATATGCCTGAATCTATTTCCTAGTCACCAGCTCCAGGTTGACCACTGCAGGCCATGATGCCACTTACGTCACACCTGGTAAGAACCGAGGCCCCGAATGAGTCAGTGAGAAAGTTAAGAAAAGGAAAACTAAGGCAAGATGCAGACTTGTGAGCTGAGAAAGGGTGGGGATTAAGGAGTAGATATTGATAGATAGTAAATGCATGCTAGAGACCACGTCTTTTTAACTCTAGCAATATCAGCAACATCATGGGTAGCCATATCACCCTTCCTGCCAGGCACTATTGTCCTGGCTTGAATAGATCTAAACCCCAATCAGTCTGAATCCAAGCCTAAATGTACAGACAATAAATCGTACTGCCTTAAATTTTGTTTCTGTATGATCCAACGTACCTATATATAGCTGAGCACACAATAGATAATAATTGAAGAGATGGAATGATTAAATCATTCCATAATCATAAGTCAATCTGAGGTAGAAAAAGGTGCCTGAGTTTTAGTTCCTAACACCTGGGTTTGGATATTAGCTTCTTCACTTAATAGTTTGAACATGATTTCTACATTCTCTAAAGGTCATTTTTTTCTCTGCAAAATGGAGATGTAGCTACTTCAAAGTTACTAGAGAAACCATATTATATTTCTATGTTTGGGTATCCATTGCCTACCAGATTGAAACTTGGAAAAGCTTTAGTTGAATGGTCTTCTCATCCATGTGCCTACCACAGTGCGTGGCACATACCACACAGTCAACAATTTTTTATCGCATGACTGAACTAGTGAAGAAATAGCTGTTATTTCTGTATAAAAGCAGCCTGTAAAAAGCAATTCCTAGTGAGGGAGTAAGCAGCATCTTCAATAATAACTGCTTTGAGACTAGAAGACTCTATCTAAAAGGAACAGAATTCACATGCATTTTATTGATATTTTCATAGGAATATATTCTTTATTAATATAATTTTATTTAATATATTTTACATTGTGTTCAATATAGTTAATGTCAATAGCTTTCTTAAAATTCCCCTGAGAATATACTCGGTGAAAAATATTTAAACACAAAAGGAATGTATTATTTGTATTTATCGAAATACGATCAAGAATAATACTCCATGAGATGCCTTTTTGTTAATATAAAACAAATTATATTTATTCTTTTTGATATCTAATTATGTTAATCTTAATATAACTTACTGTATTCATCAAATCTCCAACACATAAATCATTCGCAAGTGTGTTTTAGGTTAACTGAGTTTTCGAGAATTAATTTACAGCAGATTGTGCTAACCCAGTATTTTACAAATGGTAGGTCATGATCCATTAGCTGGTGGTGAAATCAAACAGTGGATCAGGACCAGCATTTTTTTTCAAGAAGTAAATAAAATTAAATACCACTGCTATTATTAGTAATGATCTCCAACACATAAAGCACACTATGGGCAGATGCTCTTCTAAGAGTTTTGCATACATTAGCTCATTTAAGATTGAAAAGAATAGAAAGCAAACGTGCATTGCACCTTAAAGGGCAAGTGGGGCTCCACGAAAGCTTTGTTTTTGCTCTGTGTGTGTGTATGTGTGTATTTGCTTGGGTTACAATGCAAATTGTATTTCTTATTATGGATTCCTTATTTTAAAAAGTCTAAAACCTTTCATCAATAGCCTCTGAATATGTCCATCCTTCGGGTGGTGCGCATTGCACTCCTTGTGTATACAAATACCCGTCCCCTCCTCCCTCCTCCCCCCGCCCCCTCCCTCCTGCCCAACATCCAATAGATGTTAATCTTATATGTGCATTTATGTGTTGATTAGTTAAAGACAGAAAGATCACAAGTACAAATGGATCCCGTTCTTCTGCTGTTGTGGTGCCCCACTTTGGATATTGGGCTCAAGTTTAATCCAGGAAAGTATAAGAGGTGCTAGCTCGGACTTGAGGGGGAGACCAAGGGCAACATATGTAACCTAAACATCTGTACCCCCATAATATGCTGAAATAAAAGAAAAAAAAATCCAAAAAAAAATAGCCTCTGAATAGCCTATGCAAAGTTAAGCAAGAGACTGTGCATCAGTAATGCAGGACCACATACATTCATGACGTGCTCACTGTTCATTCACTGACTCGTTTATTTGTTTATTTATGTACTCACTGACTCATTTATTCTTTCATCTATATGTTCTCTCATTGCCTCAACAAACACTTAATGAGGGCCCACCATTTTCAAAGTCCCCTCCTATGCACAGGGATTTTAAATGATGAGAATAATATCATCACCTATTATTTGAATAAAATCACCACTTTCCTAATTAATGGAGGTGGTTGTAATCTCTGGACACTACCTAAACAGCATGAAGGCATGAAAGTATTAAACTCTGGGATGCTGAACTCTGACTACTCCGGGGGAAAAGGTTTGCCCTCAGACCTTTACATACTACGTCTTCTATTACCACAATCCAAACAGACCGTAGAACTGAGCTTGGAAACTTACCTTGCTCTTCAAGGAAGATGACACAAATCACTTGGGATTTTTCAAACTGCAAGTCCCACTCAAAGAAGAAAGAAAAGCGTCTGTTTAAAAAGTTATTTTTTAATGTCTAGTGACAAAAATCGAAGTTCTCTAGAGGCAGAAAGATATAGGGAAAAGGCAATTGGGATGAAATTATAAAATATTCTCCAACTTGTCACATGGGGCTGCTGCTGTGAAGACAAATAGGGTAAAGTTTGAATGCTCTCTGCGAAGTGCTGAGCAGCTCTAAGAAGGGATCATCAGACCCACCGCGGACATCATTTTTACCTGGGGGTTTTATCTCTGGCAATTACCACAGGCTCACAGTAATAAACCAGTGCGCAATGAGACCGCTTATTAAAATGAACAATCTTTTACATTTAGATCAATATATGAATACCAAAAGTCCTCTGGCACACAGGTTGGTCCCTCTAACATGATTTAATTAGAATCATGTTAAGATGTTACAGACCAATGACTGGAAACCAACAATGACTGAGGGATTTGTATATATGTAAAGTTCTCAGGGGACTAGGTACCCATGAGAACAACCCCAGTCTGTCACTCCAGGCACCTAGAGAAGCAGCAATTAAACTGTGTGTGAAAACCTAGTTCAGTTGGTTGAGGAGGAATGCTACTATATTTATATTACTTGAGGTTATTTCTTCTTGATAGTGCAGAACATCTTCAGAAGAAGTTTAGCATAAACTTTCCTGGCCACGATCACACAGAATTATGAGAGGGAATGGAAATAAGGCTGGAGTGGTATGTAAGTTGTGTTGGCCCGTGGCAGCATGCCTTCCCAAAATTCATATCAAAAAGGTTACTGCTGGCCGGGTGCGGTGGCTCATGCCTGTAATCCTAGCACTCTGGAAGGCTGAGGAGGGAGGATTGCTCGAGGTCAGGAGTTCAAGACCAGCCTCAGCAAGAGCAAGACTCCATCTCTACTAAAAATAGAAAGAAATCAGCTGGACAACTAAAAATATATAGAAAAAATTAGCCAGGCATGGTGGTGCATGCCTGTAGTCCCAGCTACTCGGGAGGCTGAGGCAGGAGGATTGCTTGAGCCCAAGAGTTTGAGGTTGCAGTGAGCTAGGATGATGCCATGGCACTCTAGCCTGGGCAACAGAGTGAGACTCTGTCTCAAAAAAAAAAGGTTACTGTTTATGTAACTTCTCTGCACTTCAGTTCTTTCACTTATAAAATGGAGATGATGATAATAGCTACTTCATATGGTTGTTAGGAACATATAAGTTAATATTTATAAAGTGCTTAAAACAGAGCCTGGTACACAGTAAACTTTCAACAAATACCAGATACAAAAATCCAATTACAACATCTTGTGTTTTTATGAGAGAGCCTCCATTCATTTCTGAAAGTGTCCACTATCTCCAAAATAAATCATTTATTCCTTAGGGACCTTGGAAGCCACTATAAATTTATTTCAAATATCTCACCACATAATTGTGAGGTTAGAGTGTATGTTAAATAATTATTGGTAACAAGCTGAAAATAAGACAGAGGAGAATCAAAATGTGAACTACGTAAGCTGACAGAGCAAATTGGAGAACAAAGTTCCATCTTTAGTGTATGAGTTTCACCCACTGAGATACAGGCAAAGCTGAGAAACCCTAGGACACACCAAAAAATCATCTCCAGATGTGTTTTTACACAGAAACAGACTATAACATGGCTATCAGGAGGAGAAATATGACATGTTTTCTAGCTGTCCTTTACCCAAACTCTTCCTATTTTTTGTAGTTTTTGTAGTTGAAACTTGGTGGAACAATGTATAATAGTGTTTAAGAGCTCTCTAGAAGAGATTCTAAAGGATGGCATGGGTTCAAATTCTGGTTAAATCTGCCTAAACTATTCTGGAACATGGCAATTGTCTTAATGTTCCTAAGCCTCACTTTCTTTGCAGATAGAATGGGAATAATAATAGTACCTATTTGTAGAGTCGTCAGGATTAAATGAGTTAAGACATATAAATCACAAACAACAGTGCCAATGTTCTAAGAAGCCATATAAATGAAAACATTCTTATTGTGATTCTACTTAAAGTAATCACAACTCAGCTACCAGCAAAGAAACTTGTCTCAGTCAATGGTATACAATTAATAATACCCAGAAGTCAGGATAGTTAGGATTTATTTGTGGTGGGTACTGTGGCATGTGACATTAGCCAGAGTCCAAAAGTTGTGATAGTAGTGACCAAAAGTATTAGCGTCAAAGGACAGAAGTGGTGAATGTTCCAGAGGAATTGCCTTAACTAAACTGTTCCAGTGGTGTGATCTGGCTTATAGTTCCTGTTCTCTGGCTTCCTGAGAGGAAAATTTATATCCATAAATGCCTACATCCAAAAGACAGAAAGATCACAAGTAAACAATCTAATGAATCATCTCAAAGAACTGGAAAAGGATGAGCAAACCAACCCCAAATCCAGCAGAAGAAAAGAAATAACAAAGATAAGAGCAGAACTAAATGAAATTGATAATAAAAAAACTAAACAGAAGATTAATAAAACAAAAAGTTGGTTCTTCGAAAAAATAAACAAAATTGACACGCCTCTGGCTAGATTAATGAGAAACAGAAAAGAAAGAACTCTAATAAGCTCCATCAGGAATGAAAAAGGAGAAATTACAACTGATGCCATGGAAATAAAAAATATCATCTATGAATACTATAAAAATCTCTATGCACATAAACTGGAAAATGTGGAGGAAATGGACAAATTCTTAGAAACAGACCAGCCTCCCTAGGTTCAATCAAGAAGAAATAGAATTCCTGAACAGACCAATATCAAGTACTGAAATTGAAATAACAATAAAAAAAAACCTTCCAAAAAAGAAAAGTTCCGGACCAGATAGTTTCACACCTGAATTTTACCAGACCTACAAAGAACTGGTACCTATCCTGCAGAAATTATTCCATAACATCGAGAAGGAAGAAATCCTCCCCAACATATTTTATGAAGCCAACATCACCCTGATACCAAAACCAGGAAAGGACACAACAAAAAAATAAAACTACAGACCAATATCCCTTATGAATATAGATGTAAAAATTCTCAACAAAATCCTAGCAAACTGAATTCAGGTGCTTATCAAAAAAATAAGAAAATTAAAAAATAAGAAAAATCTATTTTCTTAAAATAAGAAAATCAAAACCACAATGAGATATCACTTATCTCCAGTGAGAATGACCTTTATCAAAAAGTCCCAAAACAATAGATGTTGGTGTGGATGCGGAGAGATAGGAGCACTTGTACACTGCTGGTGGGACTGCAAACTAGTGCAACCTCTGTGGAAAGCAACATGGAAGTACCTCAAAGAGATACAAGTAGAACTACCATTTGATCCAGCAATTCCATTACTGGGCATCTACCAAAAAGAATAAAAGACATTCTATAAAAAAGACACTTGCACTAGAATGTTTATAGCAGCACAATTCACAATTGCAAAGATGTGGAAACAACCCAATGCCCATCAATACATGAGTGGATTAATAAAATGTGGTATATGTATATCTATGGAGTTCTACTCAGCCACAGAAAACAGTGGTGATATAGCTCACAAATCTCTCCTACACACCCCCAAATGACACAATTAGGCCCTGGGAGTATGGAAACAGATCCACAGACCTATTCCTAGATACCTCAAGTCCAAGAGTCAGGCATATTTTCTTTAAATGTCAATTAGCACTAGTTGATCAATGATGTTCAGTCTTATTCTTACTGATCTTCTGTCAACTTTTTCTATAAATTACTGAGAAACATTTGTTGAAGTCTCTGTCTTAGTCCACTTGGGTTGCTATAACAGAAGACCATTGACAGGATGGTTTATAAAGAAATTTATTTCTCACATTTCTGGAGGCTGAGAAGTCCAAGATCAAGGCACTGAGAGATTTGGTATCTGTTGAGGGCCCCATTCGTTGTTTATAGACAATTGTCTTCACAAGAGAAAGGACAATAAACACTTTAAGAAGGCCCAGGCAACTTTGTTTTCAACAATTTACCTTAATTATCATGACTTTGAGAAGATACTCATTTATCTATGTATAAATACATTAAGTCAATAAAGTACTTACTGAGTCCCAACTAGGTGCTAGCCATTGTGTTAGATCCCAATGCGTAGTATACAGAACAGAAAAAATAAGATATAATTTCTGCATAAATAGTCCTTGGTCTAATGGGGAGACATTAAAAACTTAAACTCACAGATAAATATATAACTACAAGTTATAGGTATTATGTGAAAAAAAAAGAATGTGCTCAGAAAGTGTATAAGAGAGAAAGTTTAAATTAAAAAGGGTGGGAGAAACACTTTTGAATGGCATAGTAAGGACCTCCAAAAGCCTGTTCCTCCATGAAAACAATGACAACACAGGCAAAAGTGTTTATAATACAAATTTTCAAACTCTAGAAATTAACCAAAGGCTTGCAACAATTCAAGGAAAATGGCTGAATCTCAGTAGTAAGAGTGAACTTTGTGGCATTTTAATTTATTCTTTCCCAGCTCTGTAGTAACCTTAAAAACCAAAAAATATGGAAAGACTGTAGCTGAGGAAAACATCAGCTGAACAGCCACTGAGTGAGGAAAATGTGTTTGGAGGTTCCTAAAAGGCCTCATTCCCAGAGTATTATCACTATTTCACCTATCTGCCAACTCCCTGGAAAAACTCATTCACAGTTTTGTCTTTATTTCACCTGACTCAAGTCACACAGTCAGAAAAATCCTAATCCTAGGGTGTTTGTCAAAGCAATGTGCAGCAATTGCTTAACATTGCAATTGCCTGAATATGTAAATATCTGCTGGGAAAAACAATAATCTGACCAAATTCTTACAAGAAATTTTTGAGGATGTTATAAATCCATACAGGGCCTCAAAAAGCTACCATATATTTCTAGGGAATCACGAAAATCATGCACCTGTGCAAGGCCCCATGCATGCCCAGAAAAGGCCTGAGAAGGACTTAATATTTCATCTTTGGCTAACTCTGAGGCTCTGAACAAACAGTAAATGAAAATTAAGGCAGAATTTAAACTGCTGGGACATTAAAGACAAGCTCCTTACGAAGCCCATATGTAAGGCTTCAGAGAATTAACAGTTTAAAGCATTTAAAAAATTCTGTCCAATTGTTAGGTGACCACTAAAACCTAACTGAGTAGAAATTTCAGTGGCCACAGATGACAAATAATACAGAATTAACATAAGTAACCCAGGAAAATCATTAAAAAAATAAACATCACCACCAAAACTAAATAAATACATAAGCCCTAAGTAGGAGAGGAGACATAATTTCTAGAATATGCTTCATTTTATTATTTAAAATGCCCAAATTTTAACAAAAAATAGGAGTTACCTAAAGAACAAAGAAAGTATGACCAATACACAGGTTTAAAAAGATTGTCCATAGACACTGTCCCTGAGGAAGCCCAGATGTTAGACTTAGCAAAGATTAATCTGAGGTGGATGACACAGCATTGTGAATTCTATATAACTAAAATTTGAATCCTATGGAAGACTTTGCCTTCCCAACAGTCTTTTTAAAGGCACTCTTAACCTCTTTGTTCCTCATGCTGTAGACTAGTGGATTCAGCATGGGAATGACTATGGCATAGAACACAGATACCATTTTGTCAGTGCCCATGGAGTGGCTGGAGCTGGGCTGTAAGTACATAAAGATGCCTGTCCCATAGAACATGGAAACTGCAGTCAGGTGGGACGCACAAGTGGAAAAGGACTTCTGGCGTCCTTCAGGTGAGTGCATCTTCAGGATGGTGATAAATATGAGTAGGTAGGAGATCAAGATTACCAGGATAGAAAAGAGGACATTAAATCCCACCACAAAAAAAATAACCATCTCACTGATGTGGTTGTCAGAACATGAGAGAGCCAGGAGAGGAGGAGCATCACAGAAAAAGTGATCGACTACATTGGACCTACAGAAAGAAAGCCTGAAAGTGTTCCCAGTGTGGATGGAGGCATTCAGGAAACCACAGACATAGCAGCCTGTGGCCAGACAAGCACACACATTTGTTGTCATGGTTCTGGTGTAATGCAGGGGTTTGCACACCGCTGCATAGCGGTCATAAGCCATTGAGGCCAAGAGATAACTTTCTACTGTGATAAAGGCTACAAAGAAGAAGAACTGAGTGGCGCAAGCAGCGTAAGACATGATTTTGTCTCCTGTGAGGAATCCTGCCATCACCTTGGGAGTGGCAGCTGAGGAATAACCAAAGTCTGCCAGGGAGAGATTACTGAGGAAAAAGTACATGGGAGTGTGGAGATGAGAGTCCAGGAGAATCAACCCAATCATCCCCAGGTTCCCGACCAGAGTGAAGAGGTAGATGAAAAGGAAGAATACAAAGAGTGGGATCTGCAGTTCTGGGTCATCGGTTAACCCCACAAGAATGAACTCGGTCACCTCTGTACTGTTCTCCATTAGGAAGTACGGGGCTGCCCTGCAACAGTGAGAAAACAAAGTCAGAATGATGCATGGAGAGATGACTGCTGAGATCAGTCAGCGTGTCCATTTTGTGCCATGTCACAGTATTGCAATTGTTTGTTTTACAGCAATTCTGGACCTAATACACGTCCATGACAACAGGGTGCAACTTTTAATAATTAATGGTTAATAGAGTGCCCCTAGAAAAAGGATTTTAGAGATAATGCATCCCAATCTCCTAGCTTTATAGATTGCTGAACTAAGGTACAGAAAAGATTCATACAGGATCATCAGATTAATTATTAACTTGAACAGGTGAGATGTGAAGCCAAGTCACTTTGAATCTAAGTCTTAGCTCTTAGTCAAAAAGAAAAATTCCATTAAGCCTTTTACATTCAACCTAAACTAAGCACGCAATAGTAACTTGTTTAATTGACTGATTGAATGATTAATTAAATCTATCATTGCAAGTCAATGTGGATAATTGAAAACATGAAATTAGGGATAAAAAACATTACTAGTTTGCTTGGCTTTGTGCAAATAACCTACCTTTCCAGATCTTAACTAAATGGCAAGAACTGGATGCACAAACGTTTATAACCACATCCAACCTGTTAAAATCTTCAAAAAGTTAAAAAGAAACATACCTCTGGTGATATTAACTAATAAGCCACATAAATTTCTGGATGCTGTTCATTCTTTCATTCTTTCTATAAGCACTGATTCAGTATGGTGCATCAGCCATACCGAATGGCCTGGCATCGCCAAGTCTACGTTGATGCACAAGGTACATTCTCTGACCTCAGGATGTTTAGTAGACTAAGATACCTAAACTTATGAATACTATGTTCAGATCAGAATATTCTTATTCTCCATTCCCAAGGAGAGGGCATTGTTTTCTCATTTGCCCAGAACCATGTGATGGTTGTTGATCTCACTTACACTGTAGTCCATCAGAGTCGGTCCATGATGCCGTTGCTAAATTGTGTGTCCAACACCAGATAAGTCTTTAGTGGCAGAATTAGAACTTGGAATCAGGTCTCCTCATTCCAATAATTAGTTGTGTCATGTAATTTTGTCCATTTCCATTTCAGTCTGTTCTATAACTTGTTTCAAAGCCTAATTCGTTCCTCAGTTATTGATCATCATTTCTCCTGTCTCTTTTTAAAAATATTAGCATGGGCTTCCAGATTATAATAAAAATTCAAGTTGCTATCCCGTTCAATTCTCTTGACAATTCTAGAATTAGTCAAGATAACTAATATTATCATATTCCCTGAAAAAGAAAACTGAGATATAAATAGTTTAAATAACTTGTTCAAAGTAATACGAGTTTATACTTTGTAAAATAGGGACTCAAGGCCTTCCTGTGCTGTTTATTTATGCCACATGATAAGTATACATGTTCCAATAGGAACTCATTAGTGTTTACATATAGCATCCCTAATCCAAAAATTCAAAATATGAAATGCTCCAAAATTTGAAACTTTTGAGCACCAACATTTTGCCACAAGTCGAAAATCCCACATATAAGTACTTATCACAAACTTTGTTTCATGCACAAAATTGTTAAAAATATTGTATAAAATTACTATAGGCATTGTGTATAAGGTATACATGAAGTATAAATGAATTTTGTGTTTAGACTTGGGTCTTATCCCAAAGATATCTCATTATATATGTGCAAATATTCCAAACTTCAAAAAAATCTGAAATCCAAAACCCTTCTGGTCCCAAGAATTTCTGATAAGGTATATTCAACCTATACTCAACATATTGAGGTTACTCAAGTTGTATGAAACAAACAAAAGAATTATTCAAAATATTCAAGCCAAATCTCTGAATAAACCAAAGGAGAATTGGCTGCCTGGATGCATTTTCCTGATTACCTCTACTCCTGCAACTTTATGGCTAGACAGTAGAATTGATCTAGAGGCTTACCTTTCTCCCTGAGCAATCAACATGGAAGTCCAGCACCTTCAAATGTGAGTAAATCTTCTTTCACAAATTCAGTCCTTGAAAGAAGGAAAACATCTTTTTTGGATACTACTCTTTAGTGTTTGCCCAAAAGGCTTAAAGTTCTCTAGAGGCAGAAAGGAATTGAAGGAGAAAAATGCTACTGGCTTTGGAATCAACTAACAAGAACTTTACTCCAGTATTTGCCACTCTTTCTTCTCAGATAAGTCACTTAACCCATTTGAACCTCAATATCTTAATCTATAAAAAGGAAATAATAAAAGGTGTCCCCCAACAATATCCAGCCTGAAGACTGTTGCTTTGATAAGAAAATAATAGAATCCCCATAATACCTTATACTTGGTAAAGGGTTATAATCATAACCACAATCGACATCATTATTATTGGGAATTTTTTCCCTGGACATTGTTACAGTCTCTCAGTAGTATGTCAGTTTGGAGGAAGGACATTTTTGCTACTAGATGACTATTAACAATCAGATGGATAGATGAAAGGTCAGAGTAACTCTGGTTCTTGGGCTGCTCCCTCTAATAAGAAGTCAGATGGAATCATGTAGAAACATGAATAGTTGAAGAATAGGAACCAGGAGGTAATTATTTGGTCATGGAGATCTCAGGGGATACATACCTTCTGAGGGCTACAAAACACTTTATCTTACACAAATAGGAATGAGGTGATTAAGGTGTCTATGGGGATCCAGCTCTGTTTGTCGTGAAATATCATGAGTGTATTTACATTACTTTCAGTAATTCTCCTTGAAAATGCATAAATCAAGCCAAAGAATGACCTTCAGAACTTTAATTTGACATAAATATTAAGAGATAGGAACACAGAATCTGTCATTAAATAAGGCAAGTGGACCTCAGGAATTAGTGCTTCCTTTAATTAACCTTAAATGTTAGAACGGTTGAGAAGAAATATCAGTTCACTCAACTGTTTATTGATCCCAAATAGGTTTAGCCATAATGATGAGACCTGAATCACAGATATATGCAAAATAAATGTCCTTCTTGTGAACATGGTGCTTAAGTCTAATAAAGAAGATAGACACTTAAGCAAATAAACACTCTAAGAAACATAAATACATGTAGGACATTCAAGTATGATATATATATGGAATAAGCATATAACTATACATTTAAAAATGAGAGAGAAAAGAAGAAATCTACTTTATTGATTGGTCAGAATGTATTCTGAGGAAAGTTAACATTTTAACCAAGTTTAAAAATGACAAAGAACCAGCATGGGAAAGATCATTCCAATCAAAATAAAAAATATGTAGCAAAGGACAAGTGTTTCAAGGAAGTCAGCAGACTCTAAAAGAAACTAGTATGATTTCTCCATAGATAGATATTTTCCTTGACAGTGTTCATTTCAGCATCCTCTCCAAACAAAATTTGAGTAAAATAAAACAGAGATCAAGTGACATCAGTAAGATGGCAGAATAGGAGAGACAAACCTCTTTCCCTCACAAAAAACAGCAAATAGACAATTATCCATGAATGATAATAGCCTTAAGAGGGCTCAAGGGACCATTTAAGAACCTGCAGCAACATAGTGGAACAATTAAGGGGGAGGATGGAATAACAGCACTGAAAATATTGCTGGAGAGATATATATACTTGAGCTGTCTGGAGATGACTAGTATCAAAGAAGAAGAGCAGGAGCTATCATTACCAACCATTTCATGGGTGCTACTGTGATCCCCAGCAACCCACTCTGCAGAGAACACTGATATCTGTCACCACTGAGGTAAAAATCAGCCATCCTCACAATTAGAGTTCCCAGAGAGAGAGAGAAACACAGTTGCACCACTACCATCCAAGAAGGAAACACTGTTGTGCTGCCCCATGACCAAAGCAACCACCTCCTCCAACACTGCACGTGCCTCAAACACTGGAGCTACCGCTGTTACAGCCTAGCCCTGCCTCACACCTTAAAGCCTCAGTTGTTGTGTGTGAATGTAAACTCTAAGTACCAGTTCCATAGCAATAGTGAGCTAGCCTGAGCCCTAGAACCCATAGTCACTATAACTCTGAGTACACCCATACTCTGGATCCTGGAGCAACTGTGGCTCTACATATGCCTGTGCTCTGGACCCCAGCTTTCCAACTACTCCAGAAGCACCTGCACTTCACACATAGTTACCAATGCAGCACCCCAGGTACTGGTGTCATCAGTGTTCCAGACTCCAGAGGCACTGTCCCTCTATACATGTTTATGCTTTAGACCTTGGCTCCATGGTTGATGCACGCTGTGTGTCTGACATTGGTGTTACCAAAACTGTAAGCACACCCATGAGCTAGACCCTGTGCCAGAATTGATCCCCTCAACCATAACTTACATGATGGAAAGAGATTGGGAGGACCCCAATAGCCTTTACCACTTAAGACCCAATATTCCTTGCTGCTGCTATTGACACCCACAATCATGACTGCTGAGAATCCCTGCAATCTTCATCTTCACCAATGCCAACCTAAGTTGACAGAACAGCACAAAGACTAAGTTACTGCACCCTCACAGGAGCCCAAACTGCCACATCTCTCCCAGACAACACTAGGACTCTCCTGTAAGGAAAGTCCTTTCCCATTGAAAACAGTCTATAAAATCTGGAAGAGGTGACTTCTCCACCAAATGTGCAGACATCAATGCAAGACAACAGGATATATGAAAAACCAGTGAAACATATTAACACTAAAACAATAATTTCCTAGTAATAAACCCCCAAGAAATGGAGATCTATGAATTGCCTGACAAATAATTCAAAACAATTGCTTTAATGATGCTCAGCAAGCTATAATAGAACACAGAGACAACTAAATGAGAACAGTAAAACAATAACTGAACAAAACAAAAAGTTTAACAGAGAGGTTGCAATAATTTAAGAGAAAAACAGAAATTCTGGAGCTGAAAATTGCAACATATGAACTAAAAAATGCAATAAAGAATGTCACCAGCAGAATTGATCAAACAGAAGAAAGAATCTATAAACTTAAAGACAGATTGTTTGAAAAAATACAATAGAGGGAAAAAAAA